GCATAATCCCACAGGAATGGTTCGAAGAGGTTGCGCATGCTCTTATGCAAGTGATATCTGGGCTTCGAGCCACGATGGAGAACACCAGTGGAAGGTGTGTCATATATATGAAGTCCTCATTATCTAGCAACATTGATAATCTGTAGGGATACTACACACATTGCACGGGTTAATCCAATCTTCATAAGCCCCAGTGGACGGCCTGGAAGACCTCGCATGGTCATAGATAAGGCATTCTTAGAAGAAGCGGTGTCTGAGAGGCGAAACATAACGATCGCATGGCTCGCCCGCATGCTCGGTGTCCACAGGCACACAATTTGCAAAAATCTCAAAGGGCATGGACTACATCGAGCCTTCTCCATGCTTACGAACCATGATTTGGACTTGATTGTCAAGGCTTACAAGCACAGCAAGCCTGACTCGGGCATCCGATATCTTCGAGGATTTCTGCAGCGACATCACCTTCGCATTCAGAAGAACCGCATATATCAATCTCTATGCCGTGTTGATGGACTTGGTCATGCCCTAAGACAGCAACGTACTATTCGACGTCGCAAATATAAGTCATCTCGTCCAAACGCACTGTGGCATTGCGATGGGCACCACAAGCTCATCCACTGGGGAATAGTGATTCATGGGTTTATAGATGGGTATTGTCGGACAGTATGTGGCGCTTTCAATGTTCCATTGCTCAGTGCGTCCTAATAGCTGTCTAGATCACAGGTCTGCGGGCTAGCACCAACAACTCTGCAACCACCGTACTTGATCTTTTTCTGACAGCAGTCCAGGAGCATGAGACTCCATCTCGTGTACGTGGAGATCGGGGTGGCGAGAATATGGAGGTGGCTGTGTGGATGGTTATGCGCCGTGGACCAAATCGTGCATCCTTCATGTGGGGAAGGTATGCACGGACCATGATCATATCAGAAATGATACTAACAGTGTGGCAGCTCGACTCACAATACCCAAATCGAGCGGCTGTGGGTCGAAGTCGGGCGCCAGTTTTGCCGTGAATGGCGTGCATTCTTCCTTTGCCTCGAACATCTACACATGCTTGATAGGGACAACCACCACCATCTTTGGCTGCTACACACCCTATTCCTTAATGCTGTCAATGTTGACTGTAAGGCCTTCCAAGACGAGTGGAATGCGCACCCGATCTCTGGCCCTGACACTCATGATCAGAGCCCCAATGTCGGTCTTAACTTGGTGCACTCGCAGCATGAAATCATCTGACACTTTCTCAGGACATGCGCTTTCTTGGCCAGGCCGCAAATGGCATCTACGTCGATGATGGCACTGATATTCATCCAGATGTACTGCATGAACTATACGGGATGGCGCGCACTCCAGTACATCGGCGACGAGGACAGACAGGTGCAGGGCACCCTCCAGAAGAGGAGGAGTCAGAAAATGAAGATGATGCCATAGTTGATGGTCCTACCGCTGATATATCAGAGCAGATCGCAGCGGCTCAGCAGGGTAATGTTCGCCATGATCCTGTCGATGTGCCGGCACATGCGAGTCCTTTCGCAGATGAGGCCACAGAGACCTTACTTTTCAACGCTCTGGCTGCTGTTCGCGGAGATGGGTTCCTTCCGGCAGGGTACGGAGTGCTCATTGGAGAAGAGATTGATGCCTACGATCATGAGGAGGCCATACGTTTGGGACGTCATGGTACTAAGGAGCTCATAGTAACGCTGCCGGAACATATATGGCGTCCGTGAGCAGAGCTATGGGCACAGGGACTCCATCTCATGACCTATTTCATGCACGAAAATGTGTACGACTAGTGA